GGGACGGTGTTTTAGTTTACTGTGTGCGCAAAATGACATCTGCGTGTGTCGGTGTGACAAGCAGACATGTGTATATGTCTGTTTCTGACTGGACTGGGTCATGTGAATATTTCTGATTGGATATTCCAGCTGACTACGGCCTTCGGGTAATCATCGAGTCACCATTCACCAATGTACTGCTGAACCTCAATCATGGAGCTTGTTTCAAATAAATGCAAAGGCATGTTGAACACAACTCAGATAATTATATTTTTTCTGCCTATGAACCCTTCGTCTATTCCACTTCTGAAGGAATAATGCAACTCAAGTCTTGGTTGTACAACAGTTTCGACTTACGCAGTAGTAAAGCAGTCAGATTGACTATTACTTGACTGATCTCTCAACAAACATACCTAGCCATCACATACATTGTGCGGCGGATTACTTCTTTGCTGACGATTTATTCACAAGTGATGAATATATATGCTTTCATACCATACCAGGCTGACAATATCTTACTCAGTCAATCACTAGTGTACTATAGTGACTGATACTGGAATATCTGTTTAGTGTTTAGTGGACTCTGATTGCGCGGTGTATGCAACGTTTCTTCCGTGTTTATTTTATATTTATTGTTGCCTATTTGGAATAAACTTACTTGATGTGAGTATCATATCAACAATTAGCCTGTTCGATAGAATATTTCAGAGGATATGTTGGAAACTGCTTGAACACTGAAACTCTTGAGATTGTCAATTCAATCAGTTCATTAAATCGTACAATAAACCTTTCCTATTTTTTGGTCCAATGATCACTATGGTGTTTCGCACCCCATCCATGAGGCTATCTCATGGTTTGCAAAACATTCAGTCGTCCGTACGTCATACAGACAGCATGTCATACCGAAGGTATCCGGTCCGATTGTCTAAATACTTCTGCTGTGGACATTCAGCGTACTTTTGTTGTGGTCTAACATAGACCATGTCATAGTACCGTCAACGTGTTAATGTGGATATATGTAAGAGACACGGATACAAACCGCGAAACAACTACTCTTTGATAATACGTCCACTCACTATCTGAAATTGTCTATTCATTGCATGAACACTTCTTATTTTGCAATCAGCCTTCACGCAGAGGGTCGTCTTGTGGTCCGTGTCACGGATACGCTTTCGTTGACGTTGAGACAGCCCACTTGTTTTTCTGTGTACCGAGGAACATTGTTCAGAACAATGTCCGCATGTATCAGTGAGCTTAGGGCTTCAGAATGAAGTTTTCTGAAAGTTGTTTGATGCCATCGAGGAAAGGCGAAGAAATTGAAAGAAAAATTAATGGCAAAAGACGGAGAGCAGTCGCTTCCCAGTGAAGATAATTATGTTTCGTCAGTGAAGATAATGATGTGACAGTATGTAATGATAATTGCCGGGTAAACACTTTAAAACGTGGTCACAAGACGACGCATGCCAGTAGTACCAAACTAGTGATTTAGTGAATCAAATAGCTGTGTAAACGAAGTTGCTGAGTAGCCTGATGTTTCACGTGGTTGCCGATTGACGGCCGAGGAACTCAGCAGCTGCCTTTACAACCAATTCCCGTGAGCGACGACGATGATCTATTAACACTGGCTACCGTAGACCTAGTTCTACGAAACGCTCATGATCGCCGGAAGTTTTTCACAACAACCGATCATTGTGCTCTTCAGACGGAAGCGATTAAATCCTTGGACCGGAAAGATATGTTGACGAAGCGCACCATTTTGTACCACAACATTCCAGATGCATATATCATGTTCTGAAAGCTAAACACTTCGAGCGCGCATGTAGCAACTCGGAATCGAGCGCACTCAAACGAATCAAAATCGTGTGAAAACGAATATCTCCACCGAATGCAGTAGCCAATCAGTGGATAACACATCAGTTATTAAGAGTAAATCAAGACTGACAATGTACATTCATTGCGTGGCCACACAACTATGGAACTGATTGCCTTATCTAGAGAGGATTGCCTTAACTGACTGGGTTATGCAGTGGCAAACTGAGTCACATTCATACAAGCGATGGGAATTAAATTTGGTACAGACCTCCGCAACAGTGAATCACCAAACAGAAATTCTGCTCGGCTTGCTTACAAGTTTCATCCGGAACGTGCAAGAAAGCAGTCACCTCGGGAAACACCATAATTCTGAAATGCAAATGCACGGAACTCGATCTGAGATGGTGGGGCTAGCTACCAGTAATCCTCCAAATGTACAATACCTTACGGAAATAAGATATGCTGGCGTACTCAAATTGGCATTCGCACAAAACAGCACGCCACGTGCCGTTGTTCAGAGGCAATTTCGCGACCGTTTCATCAAGTATACCATCATCCTGCTTTAAGCGTATACGGGTTATACTGAACAGTCAAACACGCAACTCATTTCTCCTTGGACATATACGTACGTGTTTTCCAGTCAGTTGATGTCACAACTCCTCTTTGTCAGTTAAAATCTTACTTCCATACTTCTTTGTACCTCCTCATCAATTTCAATGTGACCGACACATAACGAAAGACTTCTACTGCTTACCTATTCTAATACGAACCACAATAATTTCGAGCGATTTCGTTTGAAACTTACGTAAATGTTCACTCTTGGTTTCAAGGCAAAAACCTTTCGTTCTTCAAGATTTTTTCATTGGATTGAACAGCAGAATAATCGTCAGGACACTTTTGGACCGGGATTCATTTGGCCTATGAATCATATTGTCTCGGGCAAGGAAAAAAATCGAGAATGACAGAAGTAACTTGCCTTTTTGTAGCATAAATAACCGTTGAAATCACAAGAGAAAGAAGGAAACAACCTGATGGAAATTATGAGTGGGCAGCATTGTTCTGTGTCAAGTTTGCTAACAATTTGTGACTAAGCAAGGACACAAATCGACCGGAAATGGGTTCGCGTTCTGGTAGCTTCTATCAGCAATCCCACTTAGGACACACGTACCGGCACGCAACTAGAAAGTCATATCTGCAAGACGGATTTTTGTCTTCATGTCCGGCTAGGAAAGCAGTAACACAGGTGAGAAATTAAAATATTTCTGGAAGACAGACTTCCATATGCGTTTCACTTCGTTTCCTTTGGACCATGGAACAAAAATATGCAGAGTTACAATATAAACCTAGCGACAGAAATTAAGTGTGTAACCTGAACGAGGCATGTAGTCTCGCTTCACGTACAACTGGTTTTTGGAACTTCCGCAGTTTAGTTTTTTTACTTCACCGATTACGCTGTGTATTCAGGAATATTTGACGCGTACTTGTGTGTTGTTTTTTTTTGCAGGTGCGACCTCCTACTTTTTCACAAATTCTGATGACTGAGGATAATTTCATTGCTCATCGTAAATAACGTGCTGTTGCATAACAAAGGTGTGGTACCCCAGGAAGATGTAATTTTCACAAAGTTCCCGACAATAGTGGATATTCACTTGCGCACGCGTCTTACACGTACGCTTACCAGTCCGCTTAGTAATGCAAGTATCGTTCCAAATTCGGCGCCATTCTACTCAACTGTGCTACGCGTTACACAGGAGAGATTGCACGCATTTTTGAATAACATTTTCTTAAAATGTTTGTTTGGTTATTGTTGTTTGAATTGTTGAATGATTCGCCTGTTACAAGCAAATGAGACCACTCACTGGAGAAGCATTTTGTTCTTTTAAGAGTTATAGTCTCGTGAGTTTTTCTGCATGCTTCTTTATGTTCTCTGCCTAGACACAGCTTGTCACCGTTGGTAGTAGAGCAGAGGGGAATCAGTTCTTTCTCTGTTTTGCATTGTTCAGGATTGCATCGTTTACAGTTTTTATTGCCCTTAATTTCTAATTCATTCCTTCTGGGATTATGCACACGGATTATGAAGAAACGACCCTCCAAAAGGACACAGTATGTTATCACCTGCTAATTTTTAAAAGTGGACAGACAACTTTGAGTGTGAAACCCAAATACAGAAAAACAACAATCGTAATCAGAATACTTAAAATATATGAATTTCCTTTGACAGTTATAGATCGATAGGTAGTTACATTATACTGTAACAGATATATTACGCAGGAAGGAATATACATTCATATGTATGCAATTATATAGGTTTAAATGTATGAAGAAATTACTTTCGAATGACGAGATAATTATAAGTTATGAGACAGTATTGCCTTGTTCTCAATATACTACATTCCAATATATATTCGGCATTTTACCTGGGTTCGGAGACAGGAAATAACATCATGTTATCAATTGATAACATTGCCATGGCAGTCTCAGATGAGGTGTTCTCGATTGAAGATATCCTACCACCGACAGAAAGTAGTTTGCAGTTGAAACGTGAAAACAACGTGTCCCGAGAGAGGATCGAACTCTCGACCTCCGCATTATAAGTACGGCGCTCTAACCAACTAAGCTACCGGGGCCTCAGGCGACTTACTCAGGCAGACAGTCAACATTCAGTCATCGACAGTGATTCGGTATATTAACTTTCTGAGACAATGACAACTGATGAATTGCAGAAGATTCTGCTTTTGATGTAAAATGAACACCAAGTTCAAGAGGTTGTAGCTGTCGCATTCCTGTAGAACTACTAGTGGACTCCTTTCGAATAGAAACATTAGACTCAATTCGTTGTAGATATTGGTGTTACATTATATCCTTCTATTTTTGTCTGATGTGCAGAATCCTTCGTATTCTCCACACATATTCGGATGAAATAATTCCTGAGGAGCATCGCCTACCTACTCAGGTGGTCATCCGATGAGTGCTGTTATGACATACTTCACGAAAAAATGCCCTCGCTCTAGGTTCTTTAGTTAATTAGATTTTGTGATTCGAGAGCAATTTTCGGAGGTTAACCACTGGCGGACGTCCGCAATTCATTGATCATTATTGCAGCGTCGTTTCTTCAGTGAGGTTGCCTAATGTAAGCCAAGTTCGTTGTTCGTAAAAAGATTTTTGATGAGAATCTTCCATCCTGGCACTTCCTGCATCACCGTAGTGTCACATCAAGCAGTAGTGTCATTTAGCCCAAACTGTGAGAAGCGTTGTTGCTCTACTTCGACAATGATGAGAAAGGCTTCTGAAAAATGTGTCGAGTGAAGCCAAGCTAGATGGTAAGTTAGGAAAGTCAGTAAAAACATAGAAGTGCCACGAGAAAAGAGTTGCGGAAAAATAGTATATTACGCTCTACTTGTCTATAGCGTCGGAAGAAATGTGTATGATTTTGTGGTTGTGTCTATTGTGTTATCGCCGTAATACAAACAGTGGTGGGGAAAACGTGTGAGTTTGGAAATGTGAGACTATATTTTGCAGTTTGCAAGCGATATGGTTGTGCGTAAATGCCTGAGTGAGTGTGATTTTGATCCACTAATTAGCGACTATCCAAATTGAAAAGTGGGACATACAGGCAATAATGATGTGCATACAACTATGGTTATCCATTGTGTGGATTACCACTGTGGCCGGTTTGGTTAGTTCAATACCATCAGGCACTTCCCTTGTTTGTGGATTGCTGTTTGGTTATCCATATGAACGTTGACTGGGGAAAAACCCTCATGGTCAGTGAGTGAAGATACCACCAGTGGATAGTGGGTTCAGAATGGACAATATGAGTTTCTAGTAATATGAAATTCGTGAATTCTTCTCCATACTCATGACTTAAATTAACGGTCACTTTCCGGCGACTAGCTTTCGTCAAGTCACATTTCATCTAGTCGTTTGTTTCATTTCCCTCCGTCTTCTATGTAGCCCGCCATTTTAAGACTTCCAGTTTTGTTTTCAAATTCACACCAGAGTCTTACTTCAGTTGATGATCTGGAAAATATTCATGGTCTGCATGATAGTGCATCAACCACCAAGGTGATGTCTTGTCTAACCAATACAATACCCATATTGCCCCTCCAACGTCAATGAAGATTTCCACATCTAATTTTCGTGTGCTAATATTGGTCGGTCAGCAGGTGACTCTTGAACGTAATCGGTAATTCTCAACATCGATATATATGGTCTATTGCACAAATATGGCTTCTGAATTGTAGCGAGGAACTGCGACATCAATCATTCTCGGCTGCTTAGTAATTCGTACACCTTCTGAATTTGCTTGGACACTCAGCGGCTCAGGCCACTGGTAAAGTACGTGTGAGAATAACCTTGAGCTGATAAGCACGGAAAGCGCTACTTGACATGATCTCCATGAGCTGCTATGGTTGCCTGGTCACCTCTTGAATTATGACTGGTGTGTTGAAATAAGCACATCGTGAACACTGTGTATTTGGTACGCCCCCGTCAACGTCATTCTGTCTAACAGATTGCGTAATTCAGTTCACAAGTTCAACCGCCTGGAACTTTCGAAGTATTAGAATGCCAATCGTAAGTCATAGTGAACAAGGCACACTACGTAGGTAGAACAAAATTATGCGAACCTGAACTGTCAAATGTCTTTCACTCTCTTTCATACCCGAGGAGGAAAGAAGCCAGGTGTAAGTGATTCAGTTAGCGAATCCCATGTTTAACCTCTCCGTATTCCCCAACGACATTTCGGACCCTATGCAAATTAATTTCAACAACAGTTTAACTGGCCACAAGAAATGTGGGTCACGCATTGGATCGCTCATGTGTTCATTGGTCTGTCGATGCTCCTTCTCACTTAGGAGCAGAAATCTTGCTCACATTCAAGCTCTTGAAAAGTCACAGAGCACCCGACACAGACGAGCTCATTCTTGTTCCTTTTGGTGATGGGTTTTAGCCTTCCTTAAAAGCCGGGCAGCCTCGCCGCCGAAGCTCTGGGTCAGAAATATGTTTTTAATTAATCGCGGCCTAACCAACGTCATTCTGATTCTCAAAAAAAGCTCAAGCATTAGCGTAGAAGTTGCCTGCAGCCACCTTTATCCGGAGACTAAGCGTGACGTATGAACAAATCTATCCAAGAAGAAGCGTAGGTTAATCGGGACCACGTTTTCACAAACGTCCTCTTCACAACTCATCAGACGTATGGATGTTGACATTTTTACAAAAGGCCAACAACTGGTTTATGCATTATGTGACGGAGCTGCGCGCTGAGACGGGGCATATTTCAACATCATGAGAGCAATTTACCGTGCGATATCGAACCGGGTTAAGACCTAAGCCAGTTTGTCGCCAATTTTTAGCTTATCAGTTGGGGCAAGTCCAAGTGTTCCCGCCTCCTCTCTTCCATCCAGTCTTTCGATAGACGCGATACCGGATTGATTTCTGATAATACAAGTGCGGTGACGTGACAGTACATTCAGGCCATTGACGCCAAGACACATAGTATACGGAAAATAATGAACCCTCTCAGGGTTCTTCTCGAAACCAGGCCGCGTTGGACAGGTCAGTGAATATTCCCGTTCTAGCAAGTCTTTCTTGAGGTGGATGAGTTGACGAGTAATCACATATGAAGAGGTTCCGTCACTATGCTTTATCGAAAAGTCAGAACAGTGGATCCAATCATTAACTAATATTTAGGCGACTGTTAGCTTCCGTGAACCTGAACACCCTCGTAGAACCTTCTCAATATGATGCCTATCAGATAATGACAGGGAACATGCATGATTAACTCAAGCTCTGGACGAACTCGTAAGTCGAACAAAGTTGAAGTGTAAGGAGGTTGGAAGAACGCCATTGGGCATCTATAGCACAATCCTGACTGATTTAACAATGGCCGATGGGAAGCACTTACACATGCTGTACGAATGAGTAAAGCAGCGCTGTTCAATCAGAAAAGGAAATTTCTTGACACTCAAAAACATCATAATGATACGCAATGTAGTTTAACTCTATTCCTGTCGCTTTTCTGATTGGTGCAGTTTTGTCCTGTCCTGTATGAGCCATCCAAACAACAATTCGGAATGTAGTATTCCAGTCGCATTCCGAAATGCACCTGTTATACAAATCTTTTAAAACGAACCGTCTTAGTCAGAGTAAGCACTACCAAACATTCATGTGAATTTCAGAGAAGGACTGATAATTGTATAGATTTGTTCTGAACTTCCTTACGAGCGTAGCACTAATCATCATTTTAGCTCTAATATAATAGTCGGCTAAGGGATTGAGAAAAAGCATTACTTCGCATCGCAACTAGTCCAGAAATACTGAACGTTATCTTTGCAAAGCCCACTCTCTAATTCACTGCAACTCCGCGAATTCCCTGACAGGTAAGAAATCAGACATGGATAACTTGTCCCGAAATTCCCCGCGTGTCTCACCATCAAACCGGGGTGCAGAATCATCAGTCTAAGTCGTCAGTGGCGTAAATTATAGTCACAGGTACTAGATCCAAAGCGTTAGTAGTGAGAAGACCAAGGTGTTCAATGATAAAAATGATGTAAGCGTATCTATCTAGAATGACAACGCTACTATCAGTAAAATATAAACTGTGTGAGGTAGTATTTTGAGAAATCTGCTTCGCCAGACACAGAACATCATTCCAGAAACCTTGAGTTGCTGCGAATAACAAGGAATAGATAAATATCAAAATGGAAAGGATGTGGAGGGATTGAATTTGGCAGATCACTGGGTGTAAGAAAAATAAACTGTTTGCTGAATATCAAACTGGAATTAGTTACTCCAGCATTTTAGCAAATCAGTGGAATGTTTGGCCAGAATGGCACTCTTCTGCAAAGCAGAGTTTGTCTTAATGAACAGCCAAGCAAAACAAGCTACTCAAGCGTGTGATTCATTGAAGCAGATGATTTATGAACTGAACTGAAAAAAATTGTTGGGCAAGTTGAATCATTAAAACAAACTAGATTATGTTGTTTTCTTACCGTTTCTGCTTCGTCCAATAATCAGCGAACTCCAAAAACGTGGCAACTGTTCAATGACACCTGACAGATAGTTTAGCTTTGAATCCTTGGAGTGACGGCTTTCCAGCACCATTTATCAACGCGGTACTTTATGTTTCAGGTCATGACTACTACAGTTTGTCCAAGTTAGATTTGAAATTACGGTTTGTTTTTAAGATTTATCATTCAGTTTGAATAGACATACTTTTGGAACTATACTAGGATTATGCTGTAGCATGGTGTGTTTATATAAATTGATTTAAACGAAAATACAAACGACCTGAAGTAAGGAAACAAGGCTTACATTTCTTTCAACAGAGGAATTATGAACAGAACTTAACGTGAATAGACACTCAATTGACCGAGTCGCGAAATGAAGTGTTTTTGAGAGCAAATTAAGTTAAAACGCTGCTCCGTTGTTCTTAAGCTGGCCGGCATTACATCGCCCATCTGCTGAACATGTTTGATGAGATTCAATTTAGTTTGGTCACATTTTTTACAAACTTCATTCGTGTCGCAAAAGTAGCTCACAAACAAAGCAGCCATCTGAAACTTGTGTTACACCATACCTTTTGTAGATAAACGTTATCACGTATAAACCAATTAGTCCGCAGAAG